ATTTAGGCGTAAAACTGAAACGTACCAAACCATTTATATAGTAACTATACGGTACAAGTTTTTTAAAAATACCAAACCATCACGAACTGTGCTAGTCCTACCAAAAACAAGAGTTTCATATTCACTATTTGGACGACAAAGAGTCAAAGGGGTAGTTTTCTGCATGAGGAAGACATTTGAATATAAATTTTTAGATGTAGATTTGAATTCTTGAGAAGGAAGAAAAAGATTTTGAAACCTGAAAATAAATAAATATAATAAATAAATAATTCGGAGTATTAACAAATACTCGTAATAATAAAGTAGAGCCTATGAAAAACATGATTTGAATTCCCAATTTTTCTGAAAAGTTGCAGGATGCTTTTATGGAGGGTGGATGTGCAGCATTGAATTCCAATTCCCGAGTCCATGACTCCATTACCTTTTATATGATCTCCTCTCCATTAGCATTTTATATACTCCGTATGTATAAGAGTATAACAAAAAAATTCCTTTACTAGATTACAAAATTAACATTCTAAAAGAGTCTAAAAAAATCTTCTTTTGGAAGGTATGTAATATTTTACTTGTCCATTTTTTTGTTTCATTGGCTATTTAATTATAAAATATGTAATTATTTGTTTCATACTCTCTCTCTTAAATTAAATGTCAAAAAATTATTCACTATATGAGTAAAACATAATGAAAAAAATGATTTATAATGAAATAAAAAAACATAATAGGTTATTTAGTAACTTAGGGGCTGTTTGTTTCAGCCTCTTAATAGTTCAGATGTCTGAATGGTTCAACACTTAATGATTCAGACTGTTTGTTTCGTTAGCAGATGTCTGAATGGTTCAGACATTTGCCTCTGAATGGTTAAGTATTATACAGAGTCTGAATGGTTAAGACTTCTTATCTGAATTGATCAGACATTTGCCTCTGAATAGTTAAACAATATACTACTCCCTCCGTCCCAAAAGGATCTTCCTATTTTATTTTTTGCGCATCCTATAAAACACTTCTACACACATCTAAAATGCCTAAAATGTACCACATTTCTCATTTATTGTGGGTAGAAGTTGTTTTGAAAGTTTTTTTTTGCGTTTGAGACGAGATAGAAGTGTTTTATGAGATGCGCAAAAAATGAAACAGGAAGGTCTTTTTGGAACGGAGGGAGTAGCTCTTAATGGTTCAAACCTCTTACCGGTTCAACACTTAATGGTTCAGACCTTTTACTGATTCAGCACTTACCTATTCAGAAGTTGTCAAACAGCCCCTTATATTTAGATTATTTGACCTACAACTCAACATTTTTATCACGAAGTAATTATAATCAATTACTTCTTCTGTCTCAGTATATTTGTCCAATTTGACTTTTTGGAATCAAACTCGATAAACTTTAAGTTTAACTAGATAAAAAGTGCAATATATTTTAGCATAAGAATCACTTTAATATATTTATTGTAATAAAAACTTTTAAAGCGTACCTTATTATACTTTTATGCAACACAAATTAGAAGTAATCGGAGCTCAAAAACAATGGTTTTAGATGTGGGATCCTGACCACCAACGGGCTAGAGAGTTTTAACAAGACTACTACAAAAACAGACTTTAGCGTTGATTGTTTTGGGTCTTTTGCATCAATTTTTTTACCGATGGAGATGCAAGCGATGCAATTGCTCTATGGCAATTGCATCGGTTGTAAAACAACCGATGCCAATGCCCTATTTTTTAAAAAAAAAGGCTTTGGCATGCATGAGTTGTTTCCAAACAACCAATGCCTGATTTTAAAAAAAATTAGGTTTAGCATCGGTTGTTTGGAAATAACCGATGCCAAAGCCTTTTTTAAATAGGGCTTTGGCATCGGTTGTTTCAAAACAACCGATGCCAAAGCCCTATTTTTAAAAAGTAGGCTTTGGCATTAGTTATTTCTAAACAGCCAATGCAATTTGCAAAAGCCTATTTTTTAAAAAATAAGGCCTTGGCATCAGTTGTTTGGAAACAAACGATGCCAAAGCCTTTTTTAAAAAAATTGCACTTTGTTATTCTGAAAGAACCACGTTCCTATACTATTTGTTGTTCTTCTTTCCTCTTGGAATATCAGACTTCATTAGGAGACTTCATTAGGGGCCTGTTGGAATAGCGCTAGAGATTAGCGTTTTGAATAAAATTTTAACGGTGCAGATTACTTTAAAAACACTAACACTAAACGCTGACCGTAGATAGCATTTTCGAAACGCTAAAGCTATTCCCAAACACGCTCTAGTTATAAAAAATAATGAGCATTTATAGCTTGCTAAATACCCATTCCAAAGTCACGTGCAATTTGAAACAACAACAAAATTGAAATTGAAATATGCATAAGCTATAACAGATATGCAGAAACAGCAGCAATATCGTATTTACCAGTAGTGATTGCATTTGTAAGCGTTTTGAATTAATTGGTATATACAAAAATACTACAAGACGCCCTATACAATGCAATATGTACAAATATGGGCATGAAATTGAGAATAGAATTTTGAAATTACCCCAGTGGATTCACTAAATTGAAAGTCATCAACAACCTCGGAAATAAGAGAGAAATCAGCTGATTCCTTTGGCGATTCAGACAAGGCAGCAGCTTCCATGAGCGTGTCTAACTCGGATTTCAAGCTCTTATTCACATTCTGCAAAACGCATAGAAGATCAGTGATGAATTTAAGTACACAAGCACGACGCATACATGAATGTGCTTGGAAATATGCCGATCAGATCCAGAAAATGAATGCCGCACTTTCAAATTCTTTTTAGATTGAACGGGAACGTATTTTGATCTGCGAAAAATAGCTTGGACAAACAAAACTAATGAAAACTCCAAAATGAACATGCATCATGCCAACTAAATGAAATCTTGAAATTGAACTATCATTACCTTAAGCTACAAAAAAGAGAATCATCAGAACACAAAAATTAAACCGATTCTCAGAGATCTAAATATTAATCTACAGATTCAATAACATATTCCCTACACAAATGGATGCCGTATAGACAATGCATACCTTGAGAAAAAGGACATCAGATTAACAAAAAATGCAGCTCTAAAAATTCACAGATCCAAGAGAAGAAAATCAAGCTAAAAGCATATAAAAAGACAGTGGAGAGGCCCGATCTAATTGAAGTTTGAAATCTCGTTAAGTTGGGTGAAGAAAATACCTGCGATTGAGACGCCCGATTGTCGCCAAACTCAGATCTTGGGATGAGAGAAAGAAGAAGCGGAGATCGACACGACTCAGAGCTGGGGATGAGAGAACTTAGGTTCCCTTTTTAGGAAATGTTTGGTGGCTAGGGTTTGGTCACCGCAATGACAGTGATGAAAACGATGACGGAGAACCCTGTGCTTGAAATCCCCGAGGGGAAAATTTTCTCACTTTTTGAAATTATTTTATTTACAAATTTTATATCAATAAGATATAAAAATTATATATTAAAAAATTACGTTAAAAGTTCTACAAAACAAGAGGTGAAAAGAATATTTTATTTTTTGAAATACTTAATGAAATCGCTTAAACAAACAAAAGTTTTCGAAAAGAAAGAGAAAAAAATTGTAATCTAATTAGGAACGAAGGGAGTATAATATTTGGTTGACAAACTAATACTACGTAAAAAATAGTCTAGGAAAGAAAAGAGGAGTATTGCATATTGGCATCCGGAAGAACTCATGAAAAACCTATTTAGCGGTTGTGTAACAGATGTCTTTGCTATTTTAAAAAATAAAATTCAAAAAAAGTAAAATAAGTATTGATCAATAGCATTGGTTATTTCAAACAATCGATGCTAATACTCATTTTTTTTATAATAACCGATGCTTTAGACTTTTTGCATCAGTTCTTTCAAAAACTGATACAATTGAGGCAGTCTATTTAGTTGTTTTTATAGTAGTGTAAAGAGGAGGACCCACGAGCGACAAGAGAAGGATGAATGTATACATCTAGCACAATAAATGTAACTTTATTGATGTTTTTATTGGATGTATCTTAATTGCTTAATACCCTTTCCGTTCCACAAAACCATTCTCCTTTCTTTTTTCATCCATCCCCAAAAACCTTTCTCTTTTCTATTAAAAAAAATCACTTTTACCCCTATTAATTCTTAACCTACCTATCACAACACACTTTTTCTCTATTAATTTACTCATCATATCCTACTTTATTCATCACATCAAAGGACATTTTTTGGAAAGTCAACACCAAAATACACTTTCCTTAAATCCTTTAAAAGTCAAAATGGGAAGTTTTTTGCGGGTCGAAAGGAGTAAAATATTTCTTTCATAATTTTTTTCTTTATCAAAATGTTTAATTTTTCTTCCATTTTTTAGTTTTGAAATGTTTATATTAATAGATTATTTGTGACGCACATCCCAAATTGGTAATTTCTTGTATTATTTAAAATAATCGGGATTCTAAAATCCAAAAAAATAAAATAAAAAGAGTATTTGAGATACCGTTGTTCCATGGCCACTGGATTCCAATGAACACGGAAGCCACTGCCTCTCTACAGAGCTTCGTTCATAAAATTGATGATTTCTACCCCTCCTAACCTCTCCGGTAAACCCCCCGCCAAGTCCCGACCCAAACTAATCACACCACCTACGTCAATTGCACGTCGTAAGTATAAAGTGAAAACTTTTGACTTTAAAGTCAATTATACTTACAAGGTACAATTAACGTAGGTGGGGTGATTAGTTTGGGTTGAGACTTGGCGGGGGGTTTACCGGGGGGTTAGAGGGGGTAGGAATCATCAATTTTATGAACGGAGCTGCGTACGGGGGACAGTAGATTCCGTGGCCATTGGAATCCAGTGGCCATGGAACCGGGCTCATGTAAAATACTGAAATTATATATATTAATTTTAATAATCGAGATTCTAAAATCCGAAAAATACAAAAAATAAATTAAAAATAAATGGGTATTTGAGATACTCTTCTTTTCAACTAGGAATTTGAAGCAGAAATACTTCCCTCTGACTAAATTTCTCCGAGTCAAAGCGAATTTGGAGGCTGGGTTTGTCTGTTGACTCCTCAGTTTGTTCTTCTGCTGGTTAGGCACTGAAACTGAGCTCAGATTCATCTTTCCACCAAACACCAAGTGGTGAGTTCATCATTCTCTCCCGTCTTTTATCAGTGCTGATTTTCTTTTCACTTTCCGTATTATTCGATGATTTTGCTTCCTCGATTCATCGCTGCTTAGGTTTTTATTTAACCCAAATTCAGATTCCCTAATGACTGCGGTTTATGTAAGATTTTGATAATAAGCACTTGTGTAGAAGATCTGATCACGATTCATACTGTACAATTAAAATGTTTGTGTATTAAAAAATAATTTTGATCCAACCCTATTTCTCCTACTGGTTTCACACCTTTCCCCAAGGAATGGTTGAACTTGCAGAAGAGTCAATGAATATGGAGAAATCAAGCATTTCTACTTTGTCTGTTGTGTGCAATTCAACTTTTTATGCCGGTGAAATTGCACTTTTTACTCTATATTCCTACCTGCATTTAGAAATTTTCAGTTCTTGAATGGATAATGCTTAATTGTTTACGATCTAGCCCAACTACTTAACTACTAGAGAAAACTGTTTGCTTGTCACCGACCACTGCAAAATTCATGTGGAAAAAGAAAGCTATGTTAAAATATAAGGGATCACGTTTTGAAATGAATCCTTGAAGTTGCAGATGAGTCAATGAACAATGGAGATCGAGACCTCATGAGTTGCTGCATATGGAGAACTCAAGCATTTCTACCTAGTCTAGTATGTGAATTTTAAGTTCTTCTGCTGGGGAAAATGCGCTTTTGATTCTAAATGGTTGTCTTAGAAACCTTTTAATTCCTAATTGGATAATGTGGTCGCTTAATTGTTTCAATATAGTCTGTGTAGAACAAAAATGGGAGCAAACGGTGTAGTGAGCACCGAGCAATGTGAGATAATGAAAGCTAAATTAAGAATTGAGGGATCACTCTTTGAAACGATCCATAAGTGTGATTTTCCATTTTCTTACACTTTGTGATATTTTAATTTCGTAATAACTGCTGTGGGTTAAAGATATTTCTCATTTTGCTACTGCTTTTAGCTCATATTCCTCACACTCTCTTGTTCACATCATTTCAGTTATTATGATGAAAATAGCAGTTGCTGCTGCAGTTGGTGCCCTGGGGTGGGCTTATGTAGCTCTAATAAAGCCTCCCCCTCCCAATGTTTGTGGGTCACCAGGTGGTCCTCCAGTGACGTCACCCAGGATTAAACTCAGTGATGGGAGACATTTGGCTTACAGAGAGAGGGGTGTGTCCAAAGAAAAGGCCACCTACAAGATCATCATTGTCCATGGATTAGATAACTCTAAAGATTTGGAGTTGCCTATCTCACAAGTATGAATTTCTAAAATCCGCACTTCTTTGTGTTTTTTTATATGGATGGGATTGAATCATGTAAGGAAACCGTTGCTTGTGTACATTCAATGACCTATAATTTGCAACTTGCATCATCGTCAAATCGCATCTACTTTGTGGTTGAAGTACAAAGGAGAAGTATCAAAAGATTTTTTGGTCAATTTTTTAGTAGGTAGAGGTAAGGTTATACCCCTTTTAGTCAACTCGTACTCCTTCCTGGGTAGGGGTAAGGTCTGGTTACTCTTCACTCTCACATTGGGTAGGTTGTTCTTGGTCTTTCACTCTTTCCCATTCTCAAATCAGGACTTTTACAAGGCTCTCCTTATCCATACTAGCAAAAATTTGAACTATAATTCTTTGTTTTGGAAGGGTAGTATCTTTGCCCCTTGTGGCTTTAAAGTATCGAAAGCTAGACATTATTATCCATTCACATTTAAATACTCCGTATGTAATAAACCTAGATAGTGTATTAATGATGTCCCTTTTAAGGGAGGTTACATACAATAAACTTTTAGGATTACATAAAATGATATAGTACAGTCACGGGATTTATGTGCTTGGTGTATAATCCTTTAGCCCCTCTACACAAACCATAACTACATGCATTCTACATTATTAAATATCATGCCAAGTCAAACTATGAAAAAGATTATGGTACGAAGGGAGTAATATTGTTAATGACCACTTTTTTGTTTGACACGTGCTTTTAATAATAAAAGAAAGTGTATAGTTGAGCTTCGAGCAGAGGAGAGAGTAGTGTGAACTACGCATACAATTACTTCCTCAAAACAAATGAGGAACCTTTTTCAGGACAAATGAAAAAAGAAATGTGGAACTCTTCTATGGGATAGAGAGTCTCAGCGTGAGAATGTATACATCTACTATATCGTACCTTTCTAGCCCCTTTTTGCTAAGCTTTACTCGTGAGACTGAGCTTCCTGTCTTGTTGCTAGGTAAGGGCTACCTCCATTCATTCTTATTCTACTTGGGAATGTATTATATCTAGCATGGCCTTTTGTTATCCATACTAACAACACCATAAAAGAAGGAAATATTCAATTGCAAAACAAACTCCCTCCATCTATTTTGCACAAATTCTTCAAATAAGTGTCGTTTATCATCCTTGAAAGCCCGAAATGTGTCCGCTTGGATGCATGGGGATGCTCTGACACCCAAATCCTTTATCAATTTGAAAAAGTTGGTGGTTTCACGTATCCGACCTCGTACCCAAATAAACACCCACACCCTTGTCGGTGCAACTTAGCCCTCGTCTCCAAATGAAATTTACTTTTTTTAATCCATCTCAAAATGAACTTTACACTCTTGCACTTTCTCATTCAAGAAATGAATATGTGGACAACTTTATTTCCTTTTCTTTCTAATAAATGTCAACCACACACTTTTCACTTTTCAACACATTTCTTGAACTCCGTAAAGTCAAAGTATCGAGTTTAGTATATATTACTAGTTTTTCTTATTTGTCTTTTTTATCGACAGGAACTCATAGAAGAGCTCCAGATATACCTCCTGTCATATGATCGTGCAGGATATGGTGAGAGTGACCCGTATCCAAGACGCACTATAAAGAGTGAAGCATTTGATATTCAAGAGCTGGCTGATAAGTTGCAATTAGGACCTAAATTCTATGTTCTTGGCATGTCAATGGGAGCATGTGCTGTTTACAGCTGCCTAAAGTACATACCCCATAGGTATATTTTCAAATAAGAAGAATATGTTTTATTTACCTGTTCCCATCTTCATATGTGCTTGGGATTCTATAATCTATACAAAATTTGCAGGTTGGCCGGAGTTTCACTTGTCGTTCCATTTGTCCACTACTGGTGGCCTCTTTTTCCTGCAAAAATACTGCAAGAAGGCTTGCAAAGACACCTTTTACAAGACCAACGGACATTTAGAGTGGCACATTATGCTCCATGGCTGTTGCATTGGTGGATGAATCAAAAATGGGTTCCTTCATTAAGTATGTTGCAAGGCAACATGGCTGTTTTCTGTCCCAAAGATCTTGAAACTATACAACAGCTAATGGAAGCCCCTAATGACAATCAGGTAAATAATGTTAAACCTGTTTTCCTTCATTTGCTTTTTTGTAATAATACATTCTCTCCCTGCATGCATTTGACCTGCTTAAGGCATAATATTTGAAAGTCAACCTATCAAAAGCAATAGCCCGAGACTTATGTGCTTTTCACTACTATATGGTATGGGCAGGGAGATGGAGCGTTAATAGGTTAGGTAATGAATGTTAAGTTACCACCCTACCCTTACACTGTAATACTAAAGTGAAGAGCTCACTGTTTTTGGCCATGTGTGTGAGTCAATTGGCAACAACATAACAGAGCACATTATAGCTTAATATGCATTAGTCATACCTGCAGTTGGCCCGGTTATTGCTCATCAACTTCTGTTTTGCACTTGCAGGAAAGACTTAGGCAACAGGGACTTCATGAATCTTTGTACAGAGACATGATAATGGGTTTTGGGGATTGGCAATTCAGTCCATTGGATTTACCCAATCCATTTCCCAATAATGAGGGCTCCGTCCACATCTGGCAAGGCCAGGAGGACCGAATCATCCCGTCGGTAATCAATCGCCATATCTCCGAGCAACTCACATGGATTCAGTACCATGAAGTTCCTAATGCCGGGCATCTCATGATTTTTGATTCCCGTTTATGTGAATCCATCTTCAGAACACTAGTAGCGCCATGAAATGAATAAACACGTGAGGATTGATTCAAAATTTGCAATAATAAATAAAAAAAATAAAACCCATTCCTCCGCATGCTAAGCTTAACAAAAAGAGTCATGCTTGCTGGGGTACTCCAAACGTGACCCCAAGTTTGACACCACTGTCTTTACAAACATGACAAACTATTTGTCTTGTTGAATAGTATTGCTGCTGCTGATATGATATGACAATCCTGGTGGAGAATGCATTAAAATGCAAGTTATTGGTGTGTTCCCATTTGTAACATTGTTTTTTCGTATTTAAATTTGCTGGTAACTATGGTTTGTCAAACTGTTGATTTGTTGTTCCCATAGGCGTCTCTTGTATCTGCGGATTGCGTTTTGTTTTTATTTGGGAGTAACGTTTGATAATTACCGTTAGAGATTTGGATAACATTTGATGTTGCAAGTTAATATTTTTAAGTGTTGACAGTCAAATTTAATTTCCATATACCCTACAATTAAACTTGGACGCTACGGCCTAAATAAACTATAGCTCAAAATGTCAGTTTCAAGTGACAATTTTTATGGTTCTTTAATATAATCATAAAATTCTTTTGTATTAGTAAACAAAATTACAAAAGAAAACCAAATAAAATAGGTGTCAATGTCATGTAGAACACAAACTCTTAACCAACTCCTTAGGACAATATAGATGCTCTAACGATCATCTAATACAAATGAAACTGTAGAGCAACAATTTCATCACTTTCACGGCATTCCCATTTGAATCACACCAATGTATGTTGAAGTTCCCTCCACAACTTTCAATCCATTTTCTACACGTCATTATTGGTCGCGGTGCCATTTTAGAATCACGCCATTAATGTTGAAGTTCCAAAAGGGGTTGCGGCTAGAGCTGGCAAATCGGTCGGTCAGGTCGGGTTCGGGTTTGGTCACTTCAAGTTCAGATTATTTTGGGTTCGGTTCAATTCGGGTTTGGGTTAAAAATTGTATGTTCATGACCCAGTGTCGTCAGGTTCGGCTCGATCCAACAGGTTATGACTTTGGTTTTTTTAATTTTTAAATTAACATTAACACTTACATTTTCTATTAAATAAATTTAAAATGTCATAAAAAATGTATTAAATCTATAAAATTATTATATTTTAAACTCTGAAGTAATTTTTAGATATATAAATCAATATAAGGAATTTAAAAATGCTTAAGCTTTGGAAAAAAGCAAGATAATTATGCAATATCATTAAAATTTTGTCTTAAAATATAAATTTATACAAAAAAAATAAAAAATAAAAAAATAAAAAATAAATATATACACTAAAAACGAGTAGTAAAGTGTATGATTTTGAAAAATTCTTACTTTAACGGGTCAGTCATGCCGGGTTCGGATTCGGTCGGGTTTGACCCATTTTTAGCGGGTCATTTCGGGTTCGGTCATCAAAACCTTTGTTCAAAATCTAGTATTTTCAGGTCGGGTTTTGGGTCAAAAACAGATCGGGTCATTTTTTGGCAGGTTTAATTGCGGCATAACTTTTTGCTCGTTTACCTGCCAATTTTTTTTATAATTGGTTATATTTCACAATTATTAATAATAATCCATCATAGATGAATGAGCTTAAATAAAATATGTGCTTATAAGTCCACTTATTTTGAAGGATATCAATCTTTTCTTCTAGTTAAAATGTTTATAGGGGTTTATAGACTCACTTTGGTTATTTTGGAGTGACGTACGGATCCGATTGCAAAGCTAGGGTGCCAAAACTAAATAAATGAACAAAGAAAAAAGTTTAAATCAATTATGCTACTCCGTGTATTAGAGCTTCTTTGAACACTTAACTATTTGAGACAAATTATTCCTTCGACACAAACCAATATACCATCGTTTATGTGCATCCAATAATGACAAATTTTCTTCATCCTACTTAGAATGGTTCTGATCTGATTGCAATAATTTTTGATCTAATATTAATATAGTTATTTATAAAATTATTTTTTATCTGATCTGATTTCAATAAAAAAATAGAAATCACCCTAAATAAAACTAAAACATAGAAAAAGTACCAAAATAGGATTTTTCATATTTTTTCCCGAAATAGAATTTTGCACTGTGGTAATGTGGCACTGTACATGTGCACATTACAATACTTTTTTGGTAATGTACATGACCACGTTTGATAATGTAAGTCCTATTTAGAAAATAAAAACATGGAAGTCTTATTTTGGTATATTTTCAATGTTTTAGTCATACTTTGGTCTTGCTCCCATAAGAAAAAGTAATAAATAATAAGAATAAGGTCATGTTCTCTCTGAATTATCTGAATTGTCTTGATCTGATTGAAATAATTAAGTTCTGATCTGATCGGGCCTAATTTGAACATAGTTATATTTAAAATTATTTCTGATCTAATTTTCATAAGCAAAGTAATACTCCATCCGTCTCAAAATGTAAGCTACGTTTACTATTTCAGCTTCTCGATAACTTTTATTTGTTTATTCGTTTTGGTTGATGATTTGATAAAATAAAATATTCTTGCCGCATCTTGTTTTGTATAATTTTTCATTTACTTTTGAATGATGTAATTTTTACTTTTTATATTTCTACCAATTTGTAAATAAAATGATTTTTAAAAAGATGATATTTTACCGACTTTTTGTAATGTTGCTTAGAATTAGGGGTGGAGGGAGTAAGAAATAAGAATATGGTTATGTTCTCTTCACCAGATCTCAATGATTATAATTTGATTGGAATAAGTTCTGATCTGGTCTGATCTGAATGTAGCTATATTTAAAGTTATATCTGATCTGGTCTGATCTGATTCCAATAAGGAAAAGTAATCCCTCCGCACACAAAACCTTTTTCTTTTCTTTTTTTCATGCGGTTCCAAATATCTTTCTCATTTCTATTAAAAAGTTACTTTTACTCTTTTCTAATTATTAACTTACCTATCACATCACACTTTTTTTTTATTAATCTACACACTACATCCTACTTTTACTAAGAATAAGTTGAAGAGAACATGACCTAGGTATAGTATTTGAGTATATTAAAGTTTTCCAAACAAAATTTAAAGTTTTTTCAATTCATTTTATTTAGAGATTGATGTAAAAAGAATTTACATATTTAAAAAATACGTCAAAAATTCTGGAAATAAGGATTGACAAGAATATTTTATTTTATCAAATAATTGATGAAAACGTACAAATAAACAAAAGCTCTTGTGATTTTTAAATACTCCCTTCGTTCCTAAGTATTTGTCCGCTTTTGACTTTTTTTGGTCAAAATTGGTAAACTTTGACCTCAAATTAAATAAAAATGATATTAGATATTGATACAAAAAGAATTTAATTAGATTTAATATATCAAGTATTTTCAAAATATTATTTTATTTAATTAAAATAAAATATATATTTTATTTAACTATAGGTCAAAGGTTGAAAACAGTGACCGGAAAAAGTCAAAACTGAACAAATACTCATGGACCGAGATAGTAGTAAATGGTGACATTTGTTTAGGAGGAAAAGAGTCCTAATTTAAATAATAAATGCACACTTTTCAAGAACATGGAATTGGTAACCAACTCTTTTAAAACATCTATTTCTGTGTACCAAAAATCAGTTATTCCAACAACTATTACCCGTGCATCATATGAAAATATGAAATGTTCAACGGCGCAATTGCCTAAAACGGGGAAATGGAGGAAACTTACTGACATAAAGACATTTTAAAAAACATAATAACAATAATAATTAAAAACGAATTATTTTCATAATAATATATGGTTTGATCGAATTTATGCAACCCCTCCATTTTTAATTTGTGGACTTTGCTGCATGCTACCACGCTCCACAATGCGTACGGAAAACCCATCTTTCATCCTGCAGCTGATATAGGATTCGCAGAGCGGCAAGCCACCGCCGTTCGCCGCGGCGTCCACCACCCGGAAACGCCGCAACACGGCTGCGGCCACCATCTTCAGCTGGATGAACGCAATGTCCTTCCCCAAGCATATCCTCGGTCCGGCTTGAAACACCGGATAAGTGAAGGCATCCTTCGCCGCGAAACTCCACCGCTCCTCCCCGGCGCCGGCGCCGTCTTCTTTCTTCAACCATCTCTCCGGCTTGAACTCCGCCCAGTCGGATCCCCACACCGCCGCCGACCGGCCCACCGCGTAGGTGTGGCAGATCACTCCCATCCCCTTCTGCACCCTTGTCCCGTCGGGCCACACGTCGTCGACTCTCGCCTGTTTTCCCTCAAGCGGCACCGGCGGGTTGAGCCTCATGCTCTCGGCGACGGCGGCGTGGATGTACACCAGTTCTTTGATCTTCCCGGCGTCGTAATCCTCGATCTCTCTGAGGATCTTCGCCTCCGCCTCGGGGTGGCGGGCGACGATCCAGAACAGCCAAGTGAAGGCGGAGACCATCGTGTCGACGCCGCCAAGAACGATCGCAATGGCGGCGTCGATGAGGAACTTCTCGTCTGTTATCTTCTTGCTCATCAACCTGGAAATGAAACAAAAGAGACTTTAGGGAAGAATTTTGATCAGCTGAATAGGGAGGAAGAACAATGGTCCGACAGGCAGCTAATGACAGCGCCGGCTGCAAGGAGCTAGGTAGAGACTTTAAGGTCAGCTAGAGCCGTGACTCTCATACCATGTTAGAAGAATAGAATAATAAAAGCATTTCTAACACAAATATAGAAAACATAATTAATACTACCATAATTAATACAAACTACCATAATTAATATTCCATCTGTCCCTAAAAATCGTTCTCCTTTCTTTTTTCATCCGTCCCAAAAAAAGTCATATCTATTAAAAAATTACTTTTACATATCAAATCTATTCACCACTAATCTACGAGAGCAAATCCTACTTTTACATATTACATCAGAAAATATTTTTGAAAACGCAACACCAAAATACAATCTTCTTAAATCTCTTAAATAATGAGTACTACCATAAGTAATAATAATACTCCCTCCGTTCAAAAAAATTGCGTCCCACAATCCCTTACTCATTTGTATTAAAAAACCACTTTTACCCCTTACTTTTTCATACCCAACATATCACATCATACCTTTTTCCTAATAATCTATACATCACATCATACTTTTACCCATTACATCAAGAGTATTTTTGGAAAGTCAACACAAAATTATCCATCTCTTAATTTTTACTTTAGTCAAAATGTATCTATCTTTATGGGACGGAAGAAATAATAGTAAATAATACTCTAGTCTAACAATAATGATGTATCTTTCTCAATAATAGTAATGTTTTTTAGTGCTCGTGCACAATGATCCAGCACATTGGCCTCTGCTTGAATTTTGGGTGTTCATCAATTTTTTTAGAGTCGTTTTTTAGTTCAAAATTTTCATTTTTATTATTTCAGAGGAAGTACAATATCTAGAGGTTAAATATAAAATTAATCTAAGGAGTTCCGTGTTAATAGTACCTCGACAAGAAGTCGTCTCCAAACTCCTTCCTTTCTTTGATTAACTTTCTGATGAGTCTCCGGAGAACTGCCACCGCCCGCCGGAGCCGCCACTCGGACCCCAAGTCAAAAAGTTTCTGCAGCCGCCAAGCGGTCATGAACGGGGAGAGGCACCGCTTCCAGCATATTTCGATGGCCTCGTCGAACGCGTCCCCGAATTCCGTCTCCGGGAACGACGGGGAGAGGTAGGCGAGGTCGTGGCCGAGGCCGAGCCTCGCCACCACGTCGAAGGTGAACCGGCGCATGACTTCTTGGAAGTCCAGCACCTTCTCACCCCGGGCAGCGGCAGAGAGGAGCGGGAACATCCTCTCTGACAGCTCCTCCAGGGTGATCGACTCGATGAAAGTCAGAAAACTCTTCGCGTGGAACTCGGCGCCGTAGAGCATCCTCTGCCTCTTCCAGTTCTCCCCGTCGGCGAGAAAAAGGCTCTCGCCGAAGAGGTCGAGGAAGGAGTCCTCGAAGTTTCGCGACTTCGGGTAGTCCTTGAACCTGAGCTTCATGATGTGTTGAACGTTGTTGGGGTTCGCGGTCAGGATTCTGGCGCGGCCGAAGGGGAAGCGGAGGGTGAAAGTTGAGGTGGGGGACTTGCGGAGGAGGTCGGCGGTCCAGTCGAGGATGGTGTTCCTGTGGCGGAGCATGGAAAAGAGGTGGCCGGCGAAGGGGTAGGATCTGGGCAGGGCGCCCTTTTTGGAGGGGACAATAATAACCTTAACGTATACCAAGTAGAACACCAAAAGACATAAAACCCAACCACATAGGATCCCAGCAATGTCTTGCATGGCTGAATATATATACATATTATTGATCGATCGAAAGCTTTCTTCTTTATGTATATATATTCAGTTGGCAGGGCAGAGCTGAGACTTTAATTTCGTCTCGTTCTTTAGTTTAGTTTGTTTCCATTGTCGGCTTCTCTCTCTCTCTGTGATGTGTGTGGGTTAATTACCACTTACCAGTTAAGCTTATTTATACAGGAAATTATTTAAAGAGTAGATCGAAAATATGTTGTCAGTTGCAGGAATAGGGGAAAACGTGGAAATGATTGGGTCCCCTATTAGAGTTGGTCCTGAAAGGTTGGGTGATGTTTTTAACAGCGGGTTAACCGAACGGCCAGTTTTGTTCAACAAAATGAAAATTGGGATTATTTTTAGTGAATTTTTGTTTTTTTATTTATTTAAATATTTATTTAAGTTTTTAAAAAACTTTCTACATAAATTTCTTTTTCCTTTTTTTAAATATTATTCTTATCTTATAAAAAATAAGTATAAAATATAAAATATAAAAATATTAAATATAAGATTTCAGTTATTGTTCTCATTTTTGTTATTTTTTATATCTATTTTTTTTATTTATATCCAAAGTTAGACTAATCTTTAAAAGAATACAACAAAATGAAAGTTGGGATTACTTTTAGTGAATTTTTGTTTTTTACTTATTTAAATATTTATTTAAGTTTTTTAAAAAAACTTTCTACATAAATTTCTTTTTCCTTTTTTTAAATATTATTCTTATCTTATAAAAAAATAAGTATAAAATATCAAATATAAAAAATAAGTATAAAAATATTAAATATAAGGTTTCAGTTATTTTTGTCATTTTTTTATTTTTTATATCTAGTTTTTTATTTATATCCAAAGTTAGACTAATCTTTAAAAGAATACAAATGATAGAAACCAAACTAAAAATGAGAAGTAGACATATTTGGAACAAGAAAACGAGATTTTAGGACATAATGCTCGTACGTCTCACAAGAATGATATTTAATCAATGAAAAAATTGATAGAAGGAAATCAGAGAGCAATAAAGCAAGCGATTGAGCCGATCTAGCTAGGGTTATATTTGAAGGGCCGAACCCGTCGATGGCGCTAGATGGAGATAATATAACGACTCTGAACAAAGGCGGAGGCGATGGAGACGGTCTTCTGGAAAATACGATGTTGGGTTGGATGGGGATGGAGACGCAAAACAATTAACGAAGATGACATTAACGTATGATGGCGCTGAAGGGAAGAAAAATAAAATAATTTTGGATTGGGGCCACTATTAAATTAACAAGAATAATTTAAGTTTTTAAAAGAGGTGGAATATTGCGTCCACATGTCTCTTTCTCATTGCGCCACATGGAAAGAGTTTTAAAACCCTCACTTTGGAAGAGGCACTGTAACGCCCCAAAACATACCCTAGAATTATTAATAAATAAATAATAAATTAATAAAATTTGTTTTGATTAAAAATAATTTATTGTTAGACTTTGGGCCGAAAAAATATGTGTTTGATATCCAATATCTTAATCTGGATAAATCTCATAGAAATAAATCCAATATGTTGACTAATTGTGTAATCTTGGTTGGGAACCTGGGTACAAACCCAAAATCAGTAATAAATGAATAATGTGTTTATGATGTAAACTTTAAAATGATTTATTGAAATAAATCATGAGAATAAATAAAATGAATTCAGTATGAGTACCTTTTTAAGTAAAGGTCAAATAAATCAATTTTGACTTTGTCAAAGTCAACCACCAAAAAATATGATGTCGTAAAAAGTATTACTAATAATTATGAAAAGTATATCGTTGGATAGAGCTCGACTGTCTGATCGCAACGGTGCAAACAGATTTCAATTTGGAGAAAGTTGGACCAAAAAGTGTACCCCGACTGGAACCAAAATAGGTCCCAGTCAGGGAACTGTTTAGACGGCGCCTCCTCCCCCAATACGCCGATCGCAGAATTGTGGAGTCACCATAGCTGTTTTCTTCTTCTCTCCTTCTCATTATATAAGAGAACCCAACCTTCTCATTTCTTCACCATTCTTCTTCATTCTTCTTCCTAAGTGTTCATGAAACTGTGAGGAGTGTTGTGGTGCTGTCAATTTGGTGTGAAGTCGCTGGAGTTGGGAGAAATACTCGCCGGAAGTTTCGCCGGAAAATTTTCAAAACCTTTGTTTGGCTTCGAGGTAAGCCCGTAGATATATCTAATGACTAGAATGTTCATATAGGTCGTTTCTACGTTCATAAATGGTCATTTGATTGAGTTTTGTGTTTGACATGCTTGAAGAACTAAGAATGATAAACCATGAAATTGATGTTAAAATTATGAATTAATGATGCTAAAATGATCCATGAACCTTGGAGAACATTTTTATATACTTTAATTGAAGTTTGGGAAGTAAAAATGACATTTCCGCAAGATGACTCGAGGTAGAAGACGATGAACAGTCGATTATCAAATTGAAAATCGACTGTGGCTTGTTCTGCAGATTTTTGGAACAGAGCTGAGCAACAGTCGACTGTCAGAATGTGACAATCGACTGTCAGCCCTCTCTGAAGTTTGATAATCGATTATCAAACCATTCTGAACATTAGACAGTAGATTATCAGAAGTGACAGTAGACTGTCTCCCTACACTATTGAAGAAAATGAAGCTAATAGTTAATAATTGAATTTCCTATCATATATTAAACTATGAAATCATGATTGTTTAGAAAACATGATTTTTGAACTATGAAATCCTATTTTTGATACCAATTAATTATGCACAATATAAATATGATTTTGTATAATAAAAATGATGTTTTTGGCATGTAAAATACTATGTGATGCATGACGGTAAGTTCGGGTGTTAACACTCGAGACTAGGCCGCTGTTTGTTATCAAATGTTATGTTGATTGATGATTATGATGAATGATTATTATGATGATTATTGAAGATTAAATTATGAATTGAAATGAATATGTTGATGATTATGAAATGATTTGAATTCTAAGGATATCTAGAAGAACTCTAAAATATACCTAGGTTGACGTTGGTTTCTAAGACTATCTAGAAGACCTCTAAGATGACTTAAAAATAGGCCTTGCGGGTATACTTATGAATATTCGGTGGCCTGGGTTAAAACGTACGTACGGGATCCATAACCAAACTAGAGGAACTCGTTTGGGGATGCCACCCAACCCGACAGTTAGTATCTTACTGTTCGGTTTTCTGGATTTGTACCTTAAGCAAAGGCTAGTTTAAGAGTTGGTAAATCAATCGGAATATATGTACCTTAAACTAATGACCTAGCTTAAGAGTTGGATAGAAGTACCTTAAACTAGAACTAGTTTAAGAGTTGGTAAACATCAAATAAATTGGCCTTAGACTAAGAATAGTTTAAGGATATTATTGAATGAGGATGTTGAATGTTGAATATGAATATTGAATGACGAATGTTGAATATTGATTATTGTATATTTGAACTGAATACTCTGTGCATGATATCAAATGATTTGATTATGAATTTGGATTCAATTTATATGGATGTTCGACGCATTAGATATGCTTACT